CTTCCAGGTTCTCTTCTCCCGGTCCCTCGCCCTTCTCCCGGCCCCATCTCTCCAGCCCGACTCCTCAGCCGCCGCTTCTGGGAGGGGGGCCCAGCCCCGCCGACCCCATCCCTGCCTGCGGGCAGGGGTTCGAGCCTGGCAGGGAAGGGGGCCGGCAGGGAAGGGGGCCGGCAGGGAAGGGGGCCGGCAGGGCCCTGCCGGGCACCCAGCACCCCAGCTTCGCCCTCGGGTTCCCATGAGAAGGGACGGGCTGACCTGACGGGACCCCCGCCGTGCTGCTGAGCCCCGGGTTGCTGCTGGCACCGGTGCTGGCCCAAGCTGATCCGAACCGCCGTGGTCCACCACCACCACCACCACCAGCCCCTCGGAAGCGGGACAGCAGCAAGAAGCCGGAGCGATCATACACACCGTCAGGCACGCCGCTACCGTGCGAGGAGGTTCTCTCCACCTCGCAGACCTGGCAAAGGGTTTGGCCGCCGTACAGGAAGCAGGCGTCAGCGGCACGGCCTGTTTCGGATTTCCCAGACCTACGGAGTTTCGTTTCCAGCAGCCAGCCTGCCGCCTCGGCGAGGGCCGGGGTGAGCCGGCCACGGGGAAAACCCAGCAGCCCCGGTGGGGTGGCTGCCACAAGATCCCCATGTCCGCCCCACGGCTGCAAGCCTCCCGCTATTTTCAGCTGGGAAAAGGAGACCTGGCGGCCGCCAGCTCGAGTCCTGGATCTGTGGCGGAGCCACGCTTCCAGTCCCATCTGCCTGCGCCGGCATCCTTGGGAGGGTTTTGGTTAAGTCTGGGCAGGACGAGCGCTGGCAGCTTTCCCAGCTCCTCTCCCCTGGGGTCCCTGATGTCTCCAGGAGCCATCTCTATCTCTGCTGCTGTTTCATTTCCTGCTGCTTTCTCCCTCTAGCCCCTCTGTAACTCTGCAGCTGGGCAGGCCAATAGTGCGCAAGTTAAACCCAAGGCGCGCCTGATTTTGACCAGAAACACCACCGACGCCCCGCTACCCCTCCTCGGGATCTCGTTTAATTTGTGCTGATTAAAGTGCAGCAGGCAGCTGAACAGGAGACCCCTGCCCCTCTCCCTGCAGGCAGAGCCTCAGCTGGGTCTGAGGAGCCGCAGCTGTGAGGAGCGCGGTCACTCCCAGCCTGACACCGCCTGGTATCTCCTCAGGCTTTGGGTTGTTTCCTCCCGTAGCACTAAATTCTCAGGGCTTATCAGTGACTCGGGATCTGAGAGCATCTGTAAGAGCTTTGTGGTCCATGGTCCCTCCAGCCAGCCCTATCTCTGGGTGATAGTTCAGCTCAATAAACCCAGGACAAGGTACAGGTGATTTGGGGATAAATACCCAGATCATGACCCATCTTTTGGGTAGTATAACAGCTGCTGCTGAGGGCTGCGTGGGATTGCTAGGGTGCTGAATGGAGCTGTTGGGCTGAGCTGGGCCTGCATTTGCAGGGTTTAACGCATGCCTTAGCTCAGTGCTCTGCTGAAAAGCAATGCCGACCTCTCTGGGGGTCTATTTGTGGCTGCGACGAGCTGCTGTAAGGAAGCTGTGACAGTGCAGAGCGGGGACACGCATGCCTGTCGTCTGACGCTGGTGTGAGCGCTGTACAGAGTGGGATGGAGCCCATCTACATCTCCCCGACGCTGTGGGCTGGCCCAGCTCTGTCACCCTGGCTGGTGGCACCGACCCAGCACTCGCATTTGGATGCTTTTCTTCGCCTCAGCTTGGCCTAGAAACAATATCTCAGAGAAAAATCAAAGCTTGCTGGTTTTTTTTTCTGGGGCTAGAGCGGCTGCGGCACTTGCCGAGATGATGGGAGCGGGAGCCCCGCGCGTGCCGCAGGCTGCGTGGATGTGCTGCGGTGCGCGCTGTGCCTCCAGCAGCTCGCAGAACTGGCGTCTCTCATGGGGGGTGGTAATATATGGGTTAACATCCTTCTTCTTCGGTCATAAATGACAGGGAAGGAGAGCAGCTGCACACTTTAGCTCTCCACTCTCCCTGTGCCGCACAAGGAGGGGAAGTGGCATGCCGTGGGGCATCTCGCATGGGGAGAGGGAATGGCTAAGCGTCCTCTTGCAAGCACCCCAGGGATGCGCAGAGTGCCTCTCTGCCAGATAATTGTATTGGCTGAAGTGCAGGGTAAGGGGTCGGGAGGGGGGACCGTGCCCAGTGCTACTGCGTGCGGCAAAGGGTGTCGTCCGCCGAGATTTTCTTCCTTTGCTCCTGCTGTCACCTGTGAAACCTCTGCCGAGGAGACGAAGCCATAGCGGTGCGTGGGTCAGCTTAGAGGTGAGATCCGGTGGGGAGATGCTGCTCTGCCAGGCCTCCTCGCTCTGATGCTGCTCCAAAATCACCTGCCGAGGACTGGGGACGGCTCACCCCACCAGCATTGCCTGCTCGTTCTGCCCCAGTTTGTGCCGGTGCGGCTGGGCTGGCTCCGGGTTTGGTGTGGCTGTGACGGTGGGTTTTGCGGTGCACGGGAGGGTGGTGGCTCCCCTCTGCATGCTCTATAAAAAGAGCCGTGGCAGCACAGCCCTATCTATAGCACAGTGAGGGAGCTGCCTGGGAGAGATAGGGCAGGAATTAGCCCCAAATCTGATGGTTTTCTCCGGTCCCGCTTGGGAATGCTGGGCTGGTGGTGGCGGCTAAGGGATTCCCAGTGCACCCTGGGCTGTGAGATCTCCCTGCCAGGAGACGTGTCCTGGCTTTGCTGGGATTTCCTGACTGTCTGCACCCTCCCCAAGGGGGCATGTTGTCACACTTGTCACCCAAAGGCTGGGCTGTCCCCAGATCCCCCTTCTTTCCTGCTCTTTGGGGCTGGGATTTCACTGCAGCATGTGGAGGCTGATGAGGACAGCCCCGGTGGGACCCCAGGGCATCTGGGTTTGGGGTGGATGCTCAGCATCTGCCTGTGCCTGGTCTTCTTGTGGCAGTCTCAGGGCAGCTGAGACCTTTCCTAGCAAAGCTGGTTGTGACACTTGTGGCCCATGGTATTTGTACTGGAGAGTCCAGCCAGCTGATGGGGGTTTGTGTTTTGCCCTGTGCTTTGTCTGGGGGAGACACGGGGTGGCTACATGTCCCAGGCAGGCTAACCCTGTGTTTGTGGGTGCCACAGCATCACCCTGGGGTCTCACCAGCACCCAAGCTTGGCTGGACATTGCCACGCTGTGGGTGCAGAGCAGCCCACAGCAGTGGACTCTGCTCTTGGTCAGTGCCTGTCACCCTCTGGGGGTGTTGGCCGTCCCCTGAGACCCCCAGCACCACCCATGAGAGCATCCTCCAGCCCTCCCTGGGGCGGCAGTACCAGGGAGTGTGTCTCTTTAATGAGGCTGGGCTTGGAGCAGCTCTGCTGCTGGCACAGGGAGCGAGGGATGGAGCGAGGGCGGTGAAGGAGCCAGTGCCAGAGAGGGAGCCTGCAGCAGGGAGAGGCGGGGAAGGACCGCTCATCCCCCCTGGGTACCGCAGCCCCCCAGCCAGAGGGGCAGGGAAACCCACCCCCAGGGCAGAGGGCTCTGCGGAGGGCAGGGACCCAGTGGGTGCTGAGCAGAGCCTGCAGCCCCTGTGTCATCCTCCTCCTCCAGGTAAGGGCTGGGGTGGGGGGGGGGGGGGCTGGGACCACCATGACCCTGGACCCTGTGGGTATATTGCAATTCCTGGGTGCTCCAGGGTCGCACAGCCGCTGTCGGGGCAGCCCTGGATCGCAGGAGGGGTGAGAGGTGGGAGATGAGGCAGCAGGGCCACAAAAGTGCTGAAATCACCATCCGGCATGGACCTGACAGGGCTGGCGCTAATAACTGCTGGAAACGTGCCCCAGGGTATCAGCAACCAGTCCCTGGCCCGTGCCACAAATGTCCCGTGGCTGGAGGAGCGGTGGGACCCTTCTGCAGGGCCACCCCGCTGGGATATGCCCGTGTCGGGGGAAATCCAGGGGGCTGGGGCATTGTTTTTTTAGGGGTGCCTGTGTTAGGGTGCATCAAGGGCAAGCAACTCCTGTTCCCTGACACAGGGCTGGGGTTTTCCAGGGGTTTTAGTGGCTCTGGGGAGGCGAGAGCAGCAGCACAGCTCCTAGACACGGTGGTCCTGGATGCGGTGCATGTGCCGGGTTGTGTGTGCATGCATGCACGCGTGTGTGTGTGTGTGTGCATGCAGTGCACTCTGCTCTCTGTTTTGACTTCCCAGCAGACAAAGCAGCAGTGTCAGCCAGGGGACAGCACCGCAGGCTAGAGGCTCGGGACAGGGACAGCCCTTCACCCCATCCCCTTTGCCTGCAGCTGCTGGGGAAATCCCTTTCCCCTCCGCTCCTCCTCTTTGGGCTCTCTGCAAAACGGCGTGCCCCGTGGGTGCTGGGCAGCAGCACTGTCACCTCCTGCCCCTGTGGCCTCCTCCCTGCTCCAGGAGTTGGGACAGATCTTGCTCTCCTGCCCTTGTGCCCTGTCCCAGTAGAGCGATGCAGGGATGTTCCACAGGGAGGGGAGGCAAGGGAAGCAGGAGGGGCAGCCATGCCTCCTCGCCCCAGGCGCTGCCACAGAGGCTTGGCCTCCTCTCCTTCCATCCTTCCCTTGTACCAGCCTGTGCATCTATCACCAGTGGAAATTTCCGCTGGTTTTGCCTGTGCCGGGGCTGGTCTCATCCTTCCTCGGGACCGTGCTGCAGCCCGGCACGGGCGGCTGTTGCTGCAGCAGGTGAAACTCTGACAACTTCGCAGGCAGCTAAAGAGGGTTTGCTGGGCTCAGGCGCCTGGCTTCTTGCAGCAGCCTCGCTAGAAAACTCAACCTGCCCACGGGCGAGAAGAGAAACGTTAAGTTATTCTGACCTAGAGAAGAGTTAGCTCCTTCTTCTTGCCTTCACTGAGGGCTTTTTGCCGCCGGCATGCTGAGCCGCCCCCAGCCCCGCTCCTGCTGTGGCCTCCTCTGTATCGGGGATGCTGCTGGTTAAACCAGCTCCTGCAGGCAGCAGGTGGCAAGGGAGGAAGAGGAGGGGGCTGCGAAGGCACTGGCAACCATGATGGGGAGGGGGAGGGAGCCAGGGACCTGTCAGTGAAGCCACACCAGCACCTGGGGACAACTTGCTGCCCCATGGGAAGAGGATGAGGAGGCTGGGGTGAGTACCATCGGGTCTGGTTTTATTCATTACCTCAGGGCTTAGAGCAGCCAGCACGAAGCGTGGCAGGGCCAGATGGGGCCTGTTTACTCTGCGAGGGTGAATGTAAAGAGAAGTGATAAAAAGCAGCCGGGACCGCTTCTCCAATAAGTCCCTGGTAAACAAGCCGGCAGTGCCCCGGCCAACGGGCGGCACGGCAAATAGCAGTGCGTTGCTGTGCATTAAGCTGGGTGCCTTGGGAACAAATGGAAGGGCTTTGGGGTGAAATCTGTCCTTAATGGCTCGGTGTGGCTGACCTAGGGGAGTCCCAGTCCCTGGAGCCCAGCTGGGTGCTGTGGTCGGGGCAGGACCCGG